CATAGCCCCTTCTAGCTGAAATTGACGCGAACACTGAGTGACCCATAATGCCGACACTACACTGATGGAGTCTGCGTGATAACGTTACGCATTGCCTACAGTGCTTATTAGCTGACACTGATCCATACCTACAGTAGCCCACCCCCTTGTAAACAAGTAAGTATAATGCGCTATTTTATCTGTGCGCCTCAAGGTCCGTCTTCACGGTGTCAATGCATTTCGCGTCTTTCTCGGTCGTGCCATGGCGCGACCATGTCAAGCAGTGCTTGATACAGTCGGGATCATGCGACATCTAGCGGTACGACCGAGATAGACGCGAAATGCAGTGGCATAATGCCAGCAAGATGTCGGGTCTTGAGGCTAAAAAATCGCACTATATTACAAAACATGTTACTTAAAATGACATGTCAAATTGGTCCCCAAAAACCTGTCTGCTTACTGATTTAACTGTTGGATCTAATTACTAATTTGCATATGTAACTAAAGGAACTTGAAGCATTCAGGATACAAGTGAAAACTACAGGCGTTAGATACAGTAGTTTAACGAAATTAGTGCGCTTGTATCATTTGTGGTCCGAATGTCTCGCTTACGTTTAAGAATTTTCTTCATTGCGGCGGCTTTAAGGGCGTCTCTTTCTTCGTCAAACACGTTCACGACTTCTTCTAAATGTTTCATGAAATAATCTTTGCACTGTTCTCTGATCACTAGCTGATCTCCTTGAGTCATTCCTTTTGATCTTGTTCCGTCTTGATTACTGCTGACACTGGGCTGGCATACTCACTTACACTTGCCCTTGTCCTTGTTCGACTTGTTCGTTGCCGATGCATCTTTCTTTTGCGGCCAATTTTCGTGGTGGTAAATGGTTCAGGGCTCTTCATCCTTTAAGTTAATCTTCAGCATGACACTAACCTTTACACCCATCTCTGGGTTATAGCTAGCTACCAGCTGTTCGGCCTGACGTTTATAAGGTTCAGGAGCGTCAATTTCGGGCATTGCCACGTATTTCAAAACGCTAAGCTCTTCTATGACGCAATTAGCTGGGGCCTCTGCATTCGGTGTCTCTGCCCTGATTGCAACCTGTTTGGTAGAAATTTCCTCTGCTTGATTGCCACCTCCACATCCTTCATCCATTCCTGATCTAAGATGAATTCCGCATTCATGATTTTCGCTGGTGCGACTTTAGCTGGAGTACTGCGTGTTTCGCCACCAGTGTTGGACCTTCGATTCTGCCATCCCCATGGGTTTCATTGTGGCGTTACCAAATCCCGTAAATAATCGGGTCGTCTTCAAAGTTGGACCTCCCAATTTTATTGTATACCTCCCACTGCATCATGATTACATCACTTCCCGCTTCCATTAGTGCACGTCACGCCACTCGATTTTTTGTGATTGGAAGAGAACAAATATATTTTTCTTCGCCCGACTGGATGTAACTTGCCTTCTCTTTCGCCGAGCATCTGCGAGAAGTATGTACGAATATGTTGCATTTAAAGCTTTTCGGCTCGTACGGGCACCCAGATCTGTCGTGATCCTTAGATCCACAATTAAAACCCCGTCTATGGCTGGCAGTCAGTCTTTCCTCAGTCTTCGTTTCCTTGTTGCTAGAAATTCCACTTGTCTTGTTCTTCTGTACTTGACACTGTTTTCAACTTACGTGTCTTGTCTTTCATTTTGCCATATATTTCAAGTTTCTTCCTCGACTCTTGAATTGTCTTCACACCATGAAGCATTACCTTGTTAATCTCGCTGTCCGGAATACCATCTATGATGGTAATCAATCAAAGCGTCTTCGAGTTTCCCCTGGTGCGCGATCTCTGTCATTGAATATACATATTGTCCTGTTTCGTTCCATGAATTCCTTTGCTGACCCCTACAGCATACGCTTCTCATATGTACCTTTCTGAATGTCATTCCATTGCAGGAGCTCGCTGACGTCCTCAAACTCGCAGATCCATTTTTTGGCTTCATTACCGTACATCCCCGTAGCAGTGCGATAAACGTCCTCCAGCATCCCTAATGGTGAACCTGCTGTGCGGCGTCCATCTTGGTTCGTCGTCACTGAGAGCGTGTACCCGTCGTCGGCTGCGTCGCCGTTCGCGATCGAAATGTCGGGCATATTGCCCCCGATTGTGCCGTCCTTGTACATGTGCGCGTGATCTCGATTCATATCGTGTTGGATTCAGGATTACCATTTTGAATGATTGAATTGAATTTGCCTTATTTTACGTGGCGAGACTCGGCATCAGGCCCGCCTCTTCCGCTGACCAGCAATTTCGCTACGCTCCTTTCACCAACTAGGCAGAGAAAGGAGTATTTCTTGGCGAAAAAACAGGCAGTTTTGGAATTTAGCTCAAGCGTCATTTAGGCTTGAGATCTTTATACAGCAGTAATCTACCGCGCTTTACTTTCCCTTCCGAAGGAAGCGGTCGAAGGATTTTTTCGGCCTTAAAAAATCCACGGCTTCAGTGTAAACAGTCCAGTATGCCTAAACATACATCGACCGTCGCGCGCTGATTGCTCTATTCTGTCATCCTGTGTATATCTTTGCCTCGTTCGAGACCCTATATTGTTATCAACATTGTCATCTTCCGTCGACCGTTCATTTTGTTTCATCTCATCGTCCTCGGTTTCAAATTAGCGCGTTCGCTTTACGTCACTTTTCTCTGCATCACATGTTTATTGTGCATCCGCGACATATGTTGTTCTGGTATTCACCTGGCGACGCGCTCTACGAACTTGGTCGCAATTTTGCTCTACCTGCACCTTTTTGTTTAAACGCGACATGCCCAATTCCTCTTCGCTTTCCCACAGGTCCCTACTTTTTCTGCTCGAGATTTCTTGGTTGAAGACAGTCTGCGTCATGCTCGTGTATCAATGTGTCTGTGTCCCTTTCCATGCTTTCTTTCTTCGAGTTGTCGGGTTTTATATCTTCTTTAAGGTCGACAAACATTAATGCGGTCTTATTGCGACCTCTCAGAGCCTATTTGTTTCCCGTATTTGGCAGACCTACGCCCAATGATTTTATAGCCTCCTTCAACTGTTTCATCGTCCTCTTTGCTACGTCTTTTTCTTCTTCGGCCGACATGGTCGTACCTTTTATGCTCTCTTTCGTTTCGGCCTCTGCTGTCATCTCCCTCTTTCTCACTACTGGTCTTCTTCATCAAATCCCTTTCTCTTAAAATAGCCTCCACACTCAATAAATTCGGTCTTAAAACTTCTTTCAACAACACTCATACATTATATAAAACAGTATCCAACACTAAAAACCCAAACCCCACCTACATCCTTATGCGGAGTCTATGCACTCACATGCAACAATTGCAATGCCATATACATAGGACAAACAGGATCGTAAATTCACACAGAGAATCAAAGACACGAAACAAGAATGGAAAAATAACACTACTACAGTTCACACTTTGCGGATCACCTAAATTTAAAACAAACACACATTTGATAAACACACAAATTTTCGAATTCAGAAATTGAAAACAGGTACTGGAAACAGAATAAAATTAGAAGCCTACACTATACAACGTCCTCAAAAAAAGAACATGACATGTCTTAACCACAAATCCCTGAGTTTCTCTTTACCTCTGCTAAATTAGCACAAAGTGTACACCCCTAACCCACCACCAGCCCTCCCTACTCCACTGACCTTCGCTCGCCCAACCGTCTCTCAACCCTCCACCAGCACCCCCGCGTTTAACGACCCTTCACCTGCACCTCACCCCTCTTCCCGCCCCCACCTGCTACCGACCTGCTGTGTTCTTAAACAAGACACACACTCAAAAATTCGCAGAACTGTGTTTTCGGCTTGGAAGCTGCAAAGTAGGTATGACCCAGTTTGCTTACACATCTTGCATACAATAACTACAACCTGTTAATAATATTTGTATTTCACATTTAAGCTCTGAGGATGATCGTTATGCGATCGAAACGATCATAAGCTGAAAAAAACCTATTGATACCAGACAATATCTTTATTTATTTATCATATGTACCTGTTACTAATGATTATTATCTATTAATGATTATTACTATTGATACTCATGTAAATCAAATATTTTGTTTTTTAATTTTTATAAATTTTAATACAAATATATAATGACACAAAAACAACAATTTTTTGTTGTAATATAATTTTCCTCTGCATTTTATAAATAGAGGTGACACAACTGATACATAATTAATTACATGGGCTGAGGTGACTGAAGTGCACTTCTGTTTCATTATAAATTGTTTTTGTACCTTTTACATTTGCATTCTGTTGTTAACAGGAAAAATCCATATCGCACACCAAGGCTTTTCGTGAGTATGTCTCCTGCTTCACTTACGTACAAAGATCTGGATAAAGCAGAGAAACTTGGAGATGATTTGGCAATGAGTCTAATTGAGGCAGGAGCTTTGGAAATCATGAGTGAGGCTAAGAAAACTATTGCAAGTTCTGCACCTACAGATCCTCCCCAAACTGATGTTGCTCCAGTTGCTACCGCTACAACTGTTTAGTATTATGTCAGTGGTTATTCGTTCATCTTTTCTTCAGGTAATATTTTTGACTTCAGATATATTGAGAAATATTTATTCTTCATAATGCTATAACATGTAATGCTTATAATTTAGGGCTTGATAGTAGATAGTCCAATGCCACTTCAAACTTGAATTGAGTTGCTAGGCAAAATGTGTCATATCCCCGATTATAACTGTAAAGTATCTCTAACACCTTACTATAACACTCTCCCATTTTTATCAAAATTTTATATCACCTACTTAGTCACAAATTGGATGGCCAAGGGTGAAATAGATGGATCTCAATTTTTGCCAAAAGCGACATAGGACTATCTGGTTCAAAGTCCTTTATGTGTACCAAATCTCCAGTGTGTGATCATGGGTAAAGAATTTAGACAGACCTAAATTCTTTATTAATTTTTTCCCCTCCTCCCAAAGGTTAAACACATTAATATTCAAGTAGCATTTATAACAGGCAAATAGTTGATAGACACAAATTGCTTTGCAATTTGGCACATTCTTTCATATTTAATGAAACACCACAAAACATTTAAATTACAAAGACTTTTATGAATATAAACGTTTTGACTGGCAAATTTTGCTGCTAACTAAAAGGTGAGTTTGTGCAAGTTGAGTTCTACTGTATACTACTGCTACTGGAGGATAGAGTTGCATGATGCTCAGACTTAGTAAACTTCATTGTTTTGTGAACCTCAACACCAATATGTTTACCAAAAATGGCAATAACTCTTTGCACAGAATTCCTAAATCTACCTGAATATAAGAGCACACAGCTACCTGTTATTGGCTACCTGTTCTCTGATTATTTTAGGTTATAATTGGTTCTCTGATTATTTTATCAGATTTTCCACAGTTGTTTTATTTATGAATTCAGTTGTTTTGTTCTTATTTTCCTTTTTTCAGATATTTGAGAGATAAGTTTCGGATTTTAGTGAAAATATTTGCAATGAATGCAATGTTTGAAATTTACTATAACCCGTAACTACAGGCATAGGTTTTTGTTACACTAACCATGCAGTCAGCGAGAGAGCGTAAATCAGTTAATTATTTTCATAAACCAAACAATTAAATATTATAAAAATAACTATTTGTATTAGATAAGTTTTTTTGTTTTTAATTGCAGTAGAAAAAATATTTTATTATGACTTTTTGCATGACAAAATAGCTCAAATTTAAACAATTGCAGTTTCAACTTTGTTACAATACATTATCTTACTCATCTTTCAATTGACTTAAAAATTTTTTACACAGACAAAAATGTTGAGAAATAAAATGAACTGAAAACAAAAATATGTTTGTAAAAACATGTGTTTAACATGGGACTAACTGAGACCACTAACACAGGTATGTGGTCTACACGACCGCTCCAAAGTCAGTGTGTGGTCTACACGACCACTCCAGTGTCACAAACTTCTCCATTCGAATCGAAACAGGAAATTGATAGTCATGACTGATAAGGAGCAATGAGAAATGAAGGTAACAAGAATGACTGTATCGCCACACAGCAGGAAATGATTGAAATATAAGCTTAAAAATTCGTTGCAGTCTATAGTCCTATAGTCACATGCCTATAGTTACGGGTTAATTGGAATCAATCCTTAATGTAAATATCTAAGGAGTACTAACCACATATCTGAACATAGAATTATTTTATTGATTATTTTTATATCTCAAAAGAAACACTTTATTGGTTATTCTTCAGTTGTTGTTCTTCGGGTTTATTGCTCCTTACAGTAAGTATTTTTCATTTGCTTGTTATAATTTATTTCATTGTGTTTTGTTTACAGTATTGTGGTTCTGCAAAACCAAGTAATCCTTAAAGAAATCGAAGAACAAACAACGAAATTGTAGTTTAATTTTATTTTTATGTTTTTATTTCTTAATTGGGTTAGTTTCAAGGAAAAGTTTCTGAGCTTAGCCAGTGTATTTTGTGAATGCAGTACATAGATTTCTTTTTTCATGTTACAATCTTCAGTTGACTACTTTTTAATTATGAATATAAACTAGATTTTACAATATTGTTCCCATTTAAAACAATATTTCTCTTTACAAAATATATTTTTAAGTGAGGTTTTTCTGTTTTTTGCCTTATAATTACAAATGTGAAATTTTTCAAATTGCATTTTTCAATTATTTTTTTAAATAATAAAGGTAATATTTGCATTTGTCCCATCAATTTGTAGGTTCTCTTGTGACCTTTGAATTTAAATGTGTAGTGGTTTACTTCAACTTGCGAATGCAAGGCAATTACCTGTTTTGAACAAATATTGAGGAACAAATAAGAAAGAAAACTGCATTAAAACTTGGCTGCATAATATGTAATACAAGTATTAAAAGCTTTACATTGAACAAATTTCTTCATTGTTAATGAGAACAATTTTTTTTTTATTTAATGAGGCAGCTTTTTGAAGGGAGACAATTGTGTACACTCTTTTAAGTGACATTATTTGAAATAGAAAATATTATTTCTATCTTAATTTTTTCCTCCCTCCCAATTGACTCCTCATTTTTTATGGCTATTGGTAACTTTACTGCTTTCTTTCCTGCTATTCATTATTTTCAATTTTTTCAATTTATCTGCTTTAATTCGTATTTTTAATCTTATCTTTAATCTTTTTCTTACAATATTCTTTATATTTTTCTTCTTTTTCTTTGACTTTATTTCTCTCTATCTGAACTATTCATTTTAAAATAGTCATTGCATGGAATCAGTAATGCCCAGTATTTATATATATTTTTAATAATTTTTGGTACAAAGAGAAATTGATCGTCTGAGTGTTAATATGACTACATGAGTCGATTGCTTCCATGACAACTTTTGTACAAACATACAATTGAAATAAGATTCTCTTATAACTTCTGGATTTCATCCAAAAATCAGAAAGAGAATCTTTTCATTACTGGAGTATTCTGATTAATATTAAGCCAAAAAAATCTGTGTAAAGTTTCCTAAAGAAGAAAGTAGTTGGTGTAGGTGTTATTAAGGTTCTTTAGATCATATTTTTTACTATTCTTTATTTACTTGTTTTGTGGTATTGGAATAATTTTATAAATAGAAAAAATTGTGAATTAATTTGGTCTTTCAACATTATTTAAGAAAATAGGGGCTAATAGGGTTTATATGATATATTTTTTTGTTTGTGAGATGACGGGTGGAATTCATATTTTAATCTGTATTTTGTGGGATAAACGAACGAATCAAAGCATTTTTCAAACCATTTATGAATTGTTGAAAGTGTATTGAGGAGTCTGAAATTTAGGCACCAAACTTTTATTTCTCCTCATAGGTTGCAATTTCCATACACTTCTTAATTTTTGACATACAAGAAATTTAAAATGACAACCACATGTCATACAGTATTTAATATTATGCGTTATGACTTAGGCATCTAAATTTTCAGTTTTTGTGTTGTAATTCAGTTTCCTGATGTATGCATATTTGGAATGGTATGCTGAATTGTCAGCAAACTCAGTGCTCAATGAAGAAGACTTCAATTAATTTCCTGTATTAAGGCTAAGAAACTGTGAAATAAGAATAGAAAGTTGTGAGATTTGTAAATTTACGAGGAGTAAGCCTATTTCAGAGATTTTACAAAATATTTTTGTGGGGAAGGTGTCTGAATGGGCATTAATATATACATGGTTACCACAGCGATTGAATTAAAAATTATTTGGTTGCCTGAGTTGAGAATAGAATTGATGTACATATTTATATTTTATTGTAGTAAGATATTTGTATAAATTTTGCACAAGAAAATGAGGTTGTGTATTTTATTGTAGATTTGTATAGTGTCTCTTGTTAAGTTTTGTACATGTTGGTCATCCTTTAAACATGTTAATTTGTAAATATTCTTAATGAATCTGTTACAGAATGCATATTTGCAATAAAATGTGCATATTTTGATCCTCATGTGTGTGATATTTTTTCAAAATGTAAAACCTTTGTTGAAAATATTTTTCCTAATATCCTTTTCATCAGATCCTCTGAAAGAAACATGGGATAACATTGCCAGGGTCGAAACCAGATGTTGATTAAGTGGCCACTCTGGGTCCTTCGCCATGTGGGACCCGTGCAAATTCCACGCAAAGGCAAAATAAAACTAGCGATGCTACAAAAGCACATAATTTCTCGCATTAATTATAACTACTCCGCTTATCATACAACAACATAAACCTGCAAAAGAGTCTTCAACCAACAATTTTTTTTTTTTCATTCCGAGAACTGAACTCAGATCCTCAGAGATAACTTGCCGTATCACTACGCCATAGAAGCGGCATATGACCAAGAACATAATAATATTCGGAAGCGTTATTAATATACCGGTTTCCGTATTAATTTTCTATTTCCTTTGGTCTCGGCTAGCTATTCACTCAGCTTGCCACATGCTCTTGTCAGCTGCCATCTATCGCCACCCAAAGTAGATTTTTTTAATAATTTTCTAAATTTTTCCTTTCCTGATAGAACGGAAATATTTTAAGAAAATTAAAGAACAGTAAAACTTCGTCCTAAATGGCAATTTTCTTTGAAAAATTTTGAGCCATTTTAAAGAAAACGGCGTTTAAAAGCTACTGTAAATTCAAAATTTGACCCTCTTTTCACAGAAAAGTTGAGTTTTTGAAAAACTTAATTTGAAGTCATTTCAAGCACTTCTATTTACAAATGATATAGTGTTAGCGAATTGCTGGAAATGTGTATATTAAAGGTGTCAGAGATATTTCAAAAAAGCTCAAATGTAGGAATCTAACAAAGAAATATGATATAATATACAAATTCTAAATTACTTGGCATCCAACTGCCTAGAATCATCTCTCATATTACGTTCAGAAAACGCAGGATATTCGGAGTGAGCATCAAAATTTAACGCCAAATTACTAACAAAATACTCATATTTTCGAAAAATTCAACATGTCCTTATTTGAAGATCTGTTTTTGATGAACACATTTCATGAACAAAAAAATATCTTCACAATTGTACTGTCACCAAACGGGGTAGCCCGCTAGCGTTGTTCATTGACAGGCGGACTGACGTTTTGTTATCAATCCATTTTTCAGTATCAAAGGTCCACAAAACAAATTCTGGCTACACCACGTGATCAAGATTTTTTTTTTCTAAATTTAGTAACTAACACTTTTTCGTTACAAGGGCCCAGTAATAGAGTTTTTCTAACGATAATTGGCTATTTATTCCTGAAGCTTTACATAACTTTCTCTTTTTGAGAAGTAGCTTCTTAAGGCGAGAAAGTAAAAGTAATCATTGCCTACATTTTGCGCAAAATTACTGAAGATATATACATCTTTTCTTTAATTGTCATATATTTTATTTTGTTTTCTACATTTATTCATTTTTCAGCTATTTATACTCAAAATATTGGAAAGTAATTCTAGAGCTCAAGAACATGTGCGCAGATAGTACTTCTCCCCATAAGTGACATACAGTTTTACTGGTTATTTTTGGTTAAATAAACCAAATCACATACAAATGGATGAAAACTAGAACGGTATAAGTTATATTTTATAAATTCTGAGTAAACTGTGTATATTTTAGACTATTTCATTGCCAATATATTTTCAGGGTTTTAATGAACAATTGAAATACCGTTTTAATGTTGAAACAAAGCACCTCAACTTTGCAATAATATTGACTTAAATAAACAAAATTTTCAGAATTTATAAAATATATAAATATTTTATTTTATAAGAATATATAAATCAGACTTAGTAGCAAGATATTGAAGTTTTTATGATTGTGACTTTTCTGAGAAGCACTGTGAACAATAAATCGCTCCAATATTACCAGTATCAATTTTGGAGAAAATTGGCTGAACTGTTAAGAAGCTAGCAATGACTACAGGCGGACAGACAGACGTTTTGCCGTCAATAAATTTTTCAGTATCAAGGACCCAAAAAACATGGAATTCACTACAAACGTGTTGGAAGAATCAATTTAATATACATAAAAGGACAACATTAATCCTTTTTTTTTTGTTATCAGGGCCCGGTAACAAGAGTTTGCGTATCGAAAATTCGCTTTTTGGAGCCACTGGTGCATTTTCAAAATTCTCTCAAAAATGCTCAATTCTTTTTTTAAATTTCTTGTAACAATAGAGTAAAATACACCTAAAAAGGTGCCATAGGTCCAATTTCACTGATAACTCCAAATTGTCGATATTTTCAAATATTTTTGGGCGTCTTCTTCCAACTACAAAATTTTAGATGAAGATTTTTTTTCTACATAATTAATTCATCCATTCAGGGCATGTACATTTTTTAATCTTTTAGTAGTTTGCGCAATATTGCATAAATATATGCAATTTTAAAAAATAACAAAAAAGATTTTCTCAAAAACAGCTCCAAATTCGTTCTATATATTTTTGATAGAGATAGTGATAGATTCACTTAATGAGATGACATAAACGCCATTTTCTCTATTATTTTGTTTTCTCAATAATTACAAGCATCATTTTTTTTTGTCTCGTTTCACGTCGTTAATATCTACATTAGCGCCAATTTGTTCACATTATTGCACTTACAAGTACATGTGCTTTAAATGATCTCGTATAAAGTTTCTCGAAAGCTCAAATGTTTTCTGTGAAAATAACATGGCATTTATGTCATCTTGTAAAGTGCATTCAGCACTATCGCTACCAAACGTTTAAAGCAAAAATTTGGAGCCGTTTTTGAGAAAATCTGATTTTTGTAATTGTTTTAAAATCACACAAATTACTCCTAATATTGCACGAAAAACTACTAAAATTTTCAAAAAAATTAAATTAACTAAATGAAAGAACAAATTAGGGACCACAAATATATTTGAAGGGTAAATCTCTATATTTCATAATGTAGTTGTAAGAAGACCCCGAAAATATTCTGACTTATGAAATTGTCGAAAATTCAAAGTTAGTCGTGAAAATCGGACCTAAATTACATTTCAAAGTGTATTATACTCTACTCTTACAACAAAATTTAAAGAAAAAAATTGGAGTGATTGATGGTAGCAGGCAAGTATGTGGGAAATCAGAATTGGGGCAAGGAGAAAAAAAATTGGAAATTACCACAAAATTTCGGTTGCAGGTAACATGTGGTTTGTGGAAATGGCTTTGCCAGCTTAACGAGCGTAAAAAGCTCTATCTTCAAGAACAAAGGAGCATGGAGCAACGGTGGCTGAGAGGGAAAATGGAAGTATATGATGAAAAGGAGTCAGGATGCTTCACAGTGAAAGAACCTGAAGGATCTGTTGCGGGTTTTGCGAATGGGGAAGGCTCCTGATTTGGAAGGAATACATTCTGAAACGGTACGATCTGCCACACTGTTTGTACGAAAATGGTTCTTTGTTACATTTCTTTAATGAGTATTTGAGAATGTTGGGTATTTCTCAGAGTAATGGAAAGTTGCACAAGCTTTATGAAGGTAGAAAGTACTTTTTCTAGCATTTTGGCTGAAGTAGCGAATACGTCATCTGCGAAGAGGGTGTGTGAGTGAGTGAGAGAGCGAGAGCTCATTTAAATTCCCTACTGTTCCCAAGTATAATTGTTAAAACAGTTGTAGTTAATTTATTAGCATTTTTTGAAAATAAGAGTATTTTAGAATACAAATTTCTAGTTGACTAGATAAACAGGGTTTTTATAACCATACAGTTGGAAAATATTATGAAAGACACCGCTATTCCCATTTGCAGAGGCAATTTCTATAAA